GCACAACAAAGCACTGTCCCTTATACAGGGCTTGCGACAAAAACACAAGTTTAGTTATGTTCTAAAGTTACTTTGATATTTATGAAAGGCAGCAGATAAATTGCAAAGAATTACAGAAATGTAGGCCCGGAAGGGACCTCGGTAGGTTATCTAGTCCAGTGCCCTGCACTGAAGCAGGAATAAGCATTATCTAGATCATTGCCGTTAGGAAGCTTTTCCTAATATCTAACCTAAATCTCCCTTGCTGCAATTTAAGCCCATTGTTTCTTGTCACATTCTCAGTGGTTAAGGAGAACAATTTATCACCCTCCTCGTTATAACAACCTTTTAATATATTTGGAGATTTATTATATCCCCTCTCAGTCTTCTCTTCTCCAGACTAAACAAACCCAATTTTTTCAATCTTTCCTTGTAGGTCATGTTTTTTAGGACTTGAATAATTTTTGTGGTTCTCTTCTGGACTCTCTCCAATTTGTCCACATCTTCCTTGAAGTGTGGTGCCCAGAATTGGACACACTCCTCCAGGGAAGGTCTTGTCAGTGAGGAGTAGAGTAGAATAATTACTCCTCCTGTCTTGCTTACAAAACTCCTCCTACCACATCCAAGAATGATGTTTGCATTTTTTTTTTACAATGGTATTACATTGTTAACTCATTTAGCCTGTGGTCTGCTATAACTCCCAGATCCTTTTCTGCAGTACTCGTTCCTTGGCAGTCTTTTCCCATTTTGTTTTTGTGCAATTGATTATTCGTGCCTAAGTGTAGTACTTCCCATTTGTCCTTATTGAATTTCATCCTATTTATTTCAGACCATTTCTCCAGTTTGTCAAGATAATTTTGAATACTAAACCTGTCCTCCAGAGCACTTGCAACTCTCCTAGCTTGGTATTGTCTGCAGACTTTATGAGTATACTCTCTTTGTCATTATCCTAATAATTTATGAAGCTATTGAATAGACCTGGACCCAGGACAGATCCCTATGGAATCCCACTGGATATGTCCTTCAAGCTTGATTGTGAACCATTGATAACTACTCTCCGAGTATGGTTTTCCAACCTGTTGTGCCCCAACCTTATAATAGGTTTAACTAGGCTACATTACTCAGTTTGTTTAGAACAAGGTCATGTATCAAGTCTTAATCTCTTCATTTAGGACTGGTACAGCATGGGTAAAGAGAAGGCAAGCTTGCCCATACCATGCTGCCAATGTGCCTCAATCTGAAGGGTAGAGATCCAGTCAATCTTTAGCCTCTATATAATTACAGGGTTATATCCATATGCTCAGTACTACACAACCCAGAGTAAGGTAGGACCCAAACAGAGGAAACATATACAACCCCAGGCTGCAAGTCGATCTGTGTCGGTTTCCCCTCTGCCTGTATGGAGCTCCCATGACTTCAGTAGGGTTTTGCACAAACTAGGGGCCTCTGCCAGTATGGATCAGCTTACACAACTGGAGCTAAAAGGCTGATTATAACAAGAGCTGAGCACCTGCAACTGCCATTGACACTACAGTTAATTTTTGTACTAAGTTTCACTCTTTTGGAATAAGGGAATATATAAAGTCCAGTACATTGCATTAGCAGCAGATCTGGAGGTCTAGGTTTCTCTCCCTATCACCTTAATTTAATCTTTAAAAATTCAGAGGGCATCATTTTTAAGGTAGCAATTTCCATTATTTGCACTGGAAATTACTAGTAATCATGCTGTAGTTTGGAAGATAGCACAAACACTAGCTCTGTTTCAGAACTTGAGTATTCAGCATTTTTTTGGGGGGGGGGGGGGGTTAAAGGTTCACAGACTGTCATTCTTCATTTCCTAGCAATGATGCCTGCAAAAACTAGATCTGGACATTTTTGCTGCGCAAGTCTACAAATAAAAACTGATCTCCTAAGAACAGCATATTGTACAGAGTACCAGACTGGTGCATTAATGGGTATGCTGATCTCTCTATATGAACTTGCAGCATTGCTGGCTAAGGTATGTGTGTGTAAAATAAATTCACTACTAGATACAGCCTAAATGTTCTGCATTAGACACAGTTATCTGAGGCAATCTATAAATGACTTTCCTTTCCTAGACTGCTCATCTTTGAGGTCAAAAGGTCATAAAGCATTCCAGCAGCCAACTCTGGCACACAGGTTGTCTTTTTGTTTTGTGCCTGCTATAACCAAGGAGAGCCCCCCCCTCTTTTTTTAACTGTTCTTCTTTCATCCCTGTAACAGGAGGCCTAAGTAGTTTGCTTGACCTTTAAGGAAGGTTTGTGGGAGGGAAACATGCCAGAGCTTCTGGCCTGTTGTTCATAACTGCAGCTTTATCTCATCTTGTGGCTCAGAATGCTGCTCGGCTTTCGTCAGAGAATCAGGAGTGGAGGCCCCTCTGGGGCATGCTATCTTTGGATTAGCAAAAGGATGAAAAAGAAAAAGTTTTATCTTAATGATGGGCTATGCTTCATCTTCTCAGCTACCAGAATTATCTGCCTGCATTGGAAAACATTTCCTGAGTGTTCATTAAAACAAACCTGTTTTGCCAGAAAACATGAAAAAGAGAGAGGATTAAAACAGCCTGGTATGGTGTGTGTTTTATGATGGCCCTTTCCTTTTGCTCCTCTATTCACCCTTACCTTTCAGCCATCAAAGAGCAGAAGATAACAACAGGAGCCAATTTCAACTAAACACTGACTTGTGGGCTGCTATGACTGAGATTAGAAAAGGATGGATTCAAACAACCCCTTGGACCAGACCAAGCTCATGTTTTCTCCTTTTGGTGTGACTACAGTACATGCAGTGCAATAGGAGCAGAATATTGCTTGTATTAAGTCACCTTGCAGGAGATGTTCAGTGTTTTGAAGGGTTTGGTCTTGTGATTACTATGAAGCATTTTAGTACCCAGGAAAGTAAATTGGTCCCAATATAATGCATGTAAACCCACGACTATGGAACATCGACAGTTCCCATCATTGGCTATCAGCTATGGACCAGATTCCACCATCTGGAGTAGTGCCTGACTCTGCAACTAGTTCCACTGAAATCAATGAAAATCAATTCAGTTTGAGTAAGGATAGCAGAATCTGGTGCTTTATGACTTGGTCTTTGTTGCTGTCCCTCTGGGTCACAATTTATGACTTCCTTTGGCGTTTCTGCAGCTACACCTGGACTCCACATGTTTTGATCTCCACATGTTTTACTCTGACTCCTAGTAGATGGCTGCTATTTCATTGACATTCACATATGAATTTTCTGGCTGTTCTGTCCCCTGTGGTTATAATTCCCTCAGGCGGCTGCTCTTCAGCCGAAAATCATAATTTTGCAGCAATTGTGATTTTTTTTTCCTTTTCCATCGACAGGTCTCAATTTTACTTCCTCTCCTCTGATTGGAAGGTTCTTGTCCTTCCTGAAATCCACAATAACAAGGGAACTATGACTCTGTCATCCATCTTCCATGTCTACCTTTACCCTAAGCACTGGCTTATTAAGAGTAGCATTGACCTTGTACAAAGAATGCCAGCATGTTTTCCTCTGCTGTATACCTTTCCTGTACATTGCTTTTGTCTTAATGTGTGCATGGTACTCATATGACCAGTGATCATTAGCCAAGTCTAGCTAACATTTAACTTTCAGCTGAATCGTATATTTGAAAAATGCAAACCAGAACTTTTGTTAAGCAACTGAGGAAAATCTGTTGCACTGGTGTTTAATTAGAAAGCTGTAAATAATGACAAATTAAGGGTCTTTAGATAGACTCAGTGCTTTACCCTTTTACAATAATCAAGTTGATTTTATAAGGAGATATCTAGCAAAACTATCCACTTTATGGATGAAATGCATCCCTGTATAGCAGGCCAATACAAGTCCTAAATTAAGTATCCACCACCTTGAGCGACCTACAGTTTATTTTTTTCAGGGTATTTAACACTTTTATAGAGTTCTACATATTCAGTGCACAGCTCCAACTGACCTGGGGTTCCAGGGATTCCACATTTCTGAAAAACAGACTCCAGTTGTTTTAAGCTGGGCACCCAAAACAAGACATATAACTAATGTCCAGCTGTGGAAAGTTTGGATTACGTGACCTGCCCAGCATTACATAGAAACTCTGTGGTAGTGACAGGTATAGAATCCAATTAGCCAGGGTGACATTCAGGGGGCCTTAAACTCAAGACTATCCTTTCTCTTTCTGAAATACCCTGCCTTATTCACTACACACTTTTCAACTTCTGTAACAAATGAAGTGAGGGGTCACTATACATATAAAATGATGGGGTCTAAATTAGATGTTACCACTCAACAAAGAGATCTTGGAGTCATTGTGGATAATTCTCTGAAAACATCCACTCAATGTGCAGTGGCAGTCAAAAAAGTGAACAGAATGCTGGGAATAATTAAGAAAGGGATAGATAATAGGACAGAAAATATCATGCTGCCTCTATATAAATCCATGGTATGCCCACATCTTGAATACTGTGTGCAGATGTGGTCACCACATCTCAAAAAAGATATATTGGAATTGGAAAAGGTTCAGAAAAGGGCAACAAAAATGATTATGGTATGGAACGGCTTCCGTATGAGGAGAGATTAATAAGACTGGGACTTTTCAGTTTGGAAAAGAGGCGACTATGGGGAGATATGATTGAGGTCTATAAAATCATGAATGGTGTAGAGAAAGTAGATAAAGAAGTGTTGTTCACTACTTCTCATAACACAAGAACTAGGAGTCACCAAATGAAATTAATAGGCAGCAGGTTTAAAACAAATAAAAGGAAGTATTTCTTCACACAATGCACAGTCAACCTGTGGAACTCCTTGCCAGAAGATGTTGTGAAGGCCAAGACCATAACAGGGTTCAAAAAAGAACTAGATAAGTTCATGGAGGATAGGTCCATCAATGACTATTAGCCAGGATGGGCAGGAATGGTGTCCCTTAGCCTCTGTTTGCCAGAAGCTGGGAATGAGCGACAGGGGATGGATCCCTTGATGATTACCTGTTCTGTTCATTCCCTCTGGGGCACCTGGCACTGGCCACTGTTGTAAGACAGGATACTGGGATAGATGGACCTTTGGTCTGACCCAGTAGGGCCATTCTTATGTTCTTATGGTCCTGTAGACAATAGTTTCCTTCACTACACAACCTTGATTCATTCCCTGGGTATTGTTCATCCTGTGCATGGAATGAGAGTAGTTTCCTGTGGAAAAAATAGTATGTGAACACACAATGTAAATACTGCATTGTAATGCATACCCTTCAGGGAACTGAATTAAGATTCAACCTTAACTGGCATTTCCCAACTTTTGAACCTGGCAACCTTACCTTTGCAACCTTACTATTACATTTTTGATGTAATTTCTTAATTTTTGAAAAGCAAACCAAAACAGGAATTTCATCTTTGGGAGCATATTGAACCTGGCATTGGCCATTGGAAGAGTTGGGACCTTTTAGATCCATAGCACAGCCCGCTACCATTTGAGCTAATTGAGCCACTGGTAACAACAGTAGGCTATTCTATGTGGACCAGCCATTAGAAAGGGATGAGAGAGACATTTTGCCAGTGGATTTCGTTTGCTGACAGCAGAAGAATGTTGAGACCAGGAATCCTTGGTTCCATTTGAAATTGTGTCTACTGGCCGTAAATCTTTCTGACTCCTTCTCCCTGGTACTGCTTCTGTCTCCCCTTTGCTTCTACTCCCTCCTCCCATTCCTGCTCCTCAGACCTCTATATCTGAGTCAGGTTGCTTTCTCCTTGCTAATTAGAAACCAGCAACTGGGGGGCAGTGAGAACATGAGAGAGTCTCTCTGCTCTGAGTTCTGGTGTCAGTACTTCCTGACAGTTAAGAGGAGTAATTTTTCTAAATATTCTGCTCAGCCCTGAGAGGGAGCATGATCTGTGGGGATAGCATATGCTCAGCCCACTTAGCAGATGGTAGTTGCATGGGGATGTAGTGTGCTCAGTGCAGGTGGAATTTTGGTTAGAAGCCAGCAGTATTATTCTCCAACAATTTGCATATGCTTAGTGCGGATGGAATCTTTTGAGATATCATGTTGCCAGTCTCTAACAGCCAACTCAGACATGCTCAGTAGAGGAAATTTTCATGGGCTTACTCGTGGGCCAAATTTGGGTGGATACTCATGGGGACAGCAAAAGACACACCCCTGATATCAGTGCAACCCCTGGCTAAATTTCAGCTCCTTGCTCTGAAGCGTGGAGCACTAGGGCTTCTCAATTATGTGGCTGTAAGAATTTTTGAACATGGGTAAAGAGGGTTTGGGTTTTTTCCCCTACAACCCAGTTCTTAGAAACAGCTGAGCCATTTAAGCTAGAACTTAAAAAAGTAAAAATCATAATAAAAAAAACCAGCCAAGGCAGACACCTTGATGTTGGTAGCAACACCTATAATATGAAAGAGAGACACATAGATGCATAAGGGTGTGTTTTTAAAATGATATGTTCTCAAATCTAGTTAGGAAATAAAGATCTTTAAAAGCCAGACTCCCTATCTTGATGCTGTACTTCTGGCTGCTTTACACTTCATGAGTTGACTCCTGTATCCACTGAAATCAATAGCAAAATTCCTGTTGACTTCAGTGAGGCCAGGATTCCACCCTCTGTCTGATTGCTTTATAGAATGTGAATTATATTCCTTACTTCAGCCTTAGTCCTGCATGCACTCATTACCAGATGTAGTGCTTGCCACCCTGAGTAGCTTCATTCAACTCAGTGCAATCAAGACCTTAGAAATCAATAGGGCCCCTCATGGTAGTAATCACTTAATTTAGTAGCAAGATTTTTTTCAGGATTAGGACTTCATGAGGAATAAAGAGTTTGTTAAGGGATGCTGAATCAGTCCCTGGAGACCTAATCCTATACTCATCTGATCCCAGTGTAGTGGTTATTATCATGAATAGCCACTGTACTACTACATTACTATGAGTTGTCACTACAACTAGTAGTAAATTTTGCAGGACTGAGGCCTAAATAAGAGATCATAATACAAACAAGTATTTGTAAGGCCCTAAAGTAAAGACCTATTCAGCATGAATAAGGGGGGCAAGATCTTGGGCTGTTAACTAGAGAGGCCTGTTTTCTTTCTCTCTTTCTCCATTAACTTCATTGGGATTACTCATGCAAAAAAGAGTTTTCAAATCAGGAAATATAGGAAATAGGAACATTACTTTTGTAATCATTATCAAACTAAACTTTGTATGAACAACTCATGAGAAGACTTCCTCATAACGTTTCTTTGGACAAAAACAATTGTGATCCAGCTCCTAACATGCCTATCACCATGTGTTGATCATGTATGAGTAACCTTCCCTGTAGTTGTGTAAATACAAAGAACTCAGCCTGAGATAAACTTGGAAACAGGCCATTAAAAACCCAAACATTTATGAGCAGTGTTGCTGTGGCAGTGTTGGGCCTTGTCTTTCTCACTAACAGAAGTTGGTCCAATAAAAGATATTACGTCACCCACCTTGTCTCTCAAGCATTTATAGATTATTATTATTATTATTAAGGATTTGGCAAAAAGCTCAAAGCAAGAAAAGACAGCCAAGAGGAAGGAATAAGCAAGAAATGTGTATTGGTCTGCAGTTATGGATAGATTATCGTACTTGGTGCTGGATACTGGGGCAGCAGCTGGCAGGTTAGACCAAATGCTTGGGTAAATCACAGCACCCGCTGACTAATGTCAACCCTTTCTTGTTAGAAGAGTTGCTATTAGTCAACCCCCCAGCACTTCTCACAAGCATGGGAATTGAGAGGGAGAGGATTTGGGTGGGTGGAATTACTTTGTAAGATGGCACTTGTGAGAAGCCGGCCTCTTCCCACTTTTCCCTGCCTTCCATTGTGCATGTCCTACATTCCCATCAGGTTATGGGTGTCATTGGGTGAATATTTCTTTGTTGCTGCCTCTGAAAGGAGGTAGGTATGTTCACATGCATTTTGTGGTAGCACTGGAAGTTGCAGTTGCACTTAAAGCACATAGGTACATCTGGACTTTAATGCAATTGTATGGATTTGCCCATTTGAGTACATTGGGACTTCTAAACAAATGTTCTTGTTGCACTGGTACATTGAGACTTCAGAGCAACTGAGTGGAGTTATTGGGCTTCCTCCTCCAGCAGCATCACAACAGCCTGTCACTGTGAGTTCCCTTCCTCCCCCGGGTGCTGGAGTAGTGGGGGTGCAGCCTGGTAGGCTGCAGCCCAGCATAAAGCTCTGGGTGACATCTTGAAAAGTGATACCAGAGAGACAGCAGATACCAGGTAAATATTCCCTTCCTCATTACCTGGCCCGTACTCCAGACAACCAGGTGAATTTCTTTGCATGAAGTGTCATCAGACTAGGAGCCTATAAGCTCTTGGGGCGGAAAGGGACTAT